ATACGGTGCCCAAAAAACTGTGCAGCATAATCAAAATGAGGCCTATACCAAGGATGTATAGAGTTGAAGAAAACCTGAGGACTCCTATTATTTAGCTTTTTGATATAAAGCCAAGGATTCTATTAGCTTTCTGCGAAAAACTTATGCACTGTTGTCTTGGTTTCAAATTACTGCTAACCAGAACTCCTAAATATTTTTCGCAATCCGTAATATTAAGATCTACATTATTTAGTTTAATATGTGGCATGGTTATTGCCCCTCCAACATTTAAACTTGCATTTGTCTATATTAAACTGCATCTGCCACCTCTCCGACCACTGCATCAGTCTACTCAATCTTCCTGGAGTGCTCTAATGTCCTCGTCAGAATAAATTTCGACGGCCTATTTTGGTGTCATCGGCAAACTTGCTGATTCGCTCTTTATGCCCTCATCTATGTCGTTATGTATATTGTGAACAGCAGGGGTCCAACACTGACCCCTGTGGAACACCGCTCGTGACGCTTTCCTACTCTGATTTCTCCCCATTTATGCAAACTCTCTGCTGCCTATTTGGGCCCAACCATGCCTCTATCCAGGAAAAAAATTCTCCTCCTATTCCATGTGCCTTAATTTTTCCTCAATAGTCTCTGATGTGGGACCTATCAAAAGCCTTACTGAAGTCCATGAACACAATATCATATTCATTACCATGATCTACACTCCTCAAATACCTTAGTGAAAAAAGTTAAAAAATTCGAAAGGGCAGGAACGCCCCTTTGTAAAACCATGCTGAGATTCATTGATTAATTTTATGCTTTTCAAGGTGGCTACGAACTGCCTCGGCAATTATTGATTCCATAAATTTTCCCACTATGGAGGTTAGGCTTATTGGTCTATAGTTTGAAGCTAAGGACCTGTCACCTGCTTTGAAAATAGGTATCACATTTGCCATTTTCCACTTATCTGGCACCATCCCAGTTTGTAGTGATAGTTGAAAAGATTAGCCAAAGGTTTGCTAAGCTCCACTTTACATTTCCTTTTAGAACCCTTGCATACGTTCATCAGGGCCTGGGGATTTGTTAGGTTTTAATTTATCTATTTGCCTAAGGACCATGTCACTTGTGACCCTAATCGTGCACAGTTTATTATCGTCCTGTTCCACATAATTTATCATTTCTGGAATATCGCTGGTATCCTCCTGTGTAAAAACTGAGAGGAATTTATGTGTTAAAACTTCTACACTTTTCCTTATCACTGTCAGTGAGCTGACCCGAGGAACTTTTGATGGGGCCTATCTTGTCCCTGATCTTACTTCTTTTTAACCTGAAAGAATCCTTTTGGGTTAGTCTTCGAATCTCTTGCAACTTTAACCTCATAATCTCTGTTTGCTTTTCTAATTCCTTTTTTTTATTTCTCTCTTTAACTGAATATATCGATTTCTTAATTCCCCCTCTCCTCTTTTGATTTGCCAATATATGCCTCTCTTTTGACCAATTAGATATTTTTAATCTATTGTTCATCCATTAGGATCATTTTTGTTTGTCTGATTTCCTTTTTGGAACATAATTTGGGATGGCAGCAGAACATGCCGGAAAGCGTCATCGGATCCATCACCCCGTAGCAGGTCATTCGTTCAGCCCCTAAGTAATTTTTCAGTCTATGAAATCAGCAAGCGGAAGTCAGGGACAGAGACTTGATTGCCATTATTAGGGGAATTCCATGATATATTAAAAATTGAGTGATTTGTGATCACCCTCCCCAAGGTCATCATTAACCTCAAGATTATTAATTTAGTGTTTCCCTATGGCAAGAACCAAGTCAAGGGGGTTTTATTTCCCCTAGTTGGCTCTGTCACAAACTCTTAAAAAAAACAATCCTGGACCGTATCAAGAAGTCACCCGACTCCATATTTCCTGTCAAATTGCTCCAGTCAATCTGTCTATAGTTGAAATCTCCCATTAGCACAACATTTTCTTTTTGTAGATGCCTTACGAATTTCGTCCCATAGAAGTTTACTGCACTCTCTACAAGATTTGGGGCCCTGAAAAATCACACCCAAAATTAGTTTTTTTTCGGCCCTCGAGAAGCTGTAACCAAACAGATTCAGTGGCTGACGCTTTAATTTTATATTTGTCTAACACAACAATTTAAATTGTCTCTGACATACATCACTACTCCACCACCTTTCCTGTTGACCCTGTCAGTGTGGAATAATTTATAGCCTTGTATGTGACATTCAGAGGGCATCTCTCTATCTTTCAGATTGAGCCAGGTCTCTGTTATAGCAATAATATCTATGTTTCCTGCACTTGCAATTAATCTTAGCTCATCTATCTTATTTCTTACACTCCTGCTATTAGTATAGTAAACCTTAAGGGAGCTAGCCCCTTGCTGCCCTCTGCTGTCCCCCTTTGTTTGCTGACCTGATCTATTGTTTTTATTTATAACCTCATGCTGAATGCCTTTTATACATTTACGGGTTTCAAAACCCTAGTGTTGCAACCTACTTGTTTCCCCACACACCCCATACCCCTATCTTCTATCAGTTTTAAAATCATAGGCATTAAACCAATGGCTTTCTCAATCGAGTTGCAAGTCTCCACCCAGCCCGGGAAGATGTACCCCATCCCTTGCTACATATCATGTTTGCCTTTAAACGTTTTTCCAGTTGTCAATGAATGGGATTCAAGTTCCTTGCAGTATTGTCAAAGCCAGCATTTTACACCAATTGCCCTAGACAACCATTCATTCCTACTCCCTCTAGCAAGATGCTACATTGATGGGGATCCTCCCTTAGACTTAATAAATTATAGCTGACCTGTAACTTATCTAGCACCCTTTCTTCTCCTCCTACCCTTCCCAATATCATTTTCCTCAGCACTGAGACAGATAATGGGCTTGTTCCCATTACCTGACATGATATTATCCAGCCTGTTGACTAAGTCCCAACACCAGCTCCAGGGAAGCACACTTCTATCTCTCATCTTCTTTTTCCTATTCAAAAAGCATGGTCAATATATCTTACCGAGGTCACCACCCAAGATGCACTTACCTCCTTTACAGGGGCAGAGACCCTTACCTTCACTGGCCATGAAGTACATTCATCCTGAAGAACAAGAGCGATTTCTACCTTCAGTTTCTTCACTCTTAATTTTTCCTTACTCTGATGGCCTCCCATTACTGTGAACCACTCGCCACTTGTAGCAGGTACTGGGCTGCACCTCACGGGCTGGTAGCCGTTGCTCCCTACCCCCCTACAGCCTCCTCACAGTGAGAGACAGACTGCACCTCACTGCTAGAAGCCTCATTTCCACAACTCCAGCCCCCTCACACTCTCTCCCAGACCCGTTGAGGTGGACCTTCACCCTTTCCTAATTCCTCCTGGAGAAGCAAGACCTCCTCCTTTCAACTCTCCAACCTCAATTTTTAAAACACTGCAGAAGCAAGCCATGCTTTGTAACTAAGCCATGATCCCATGATCCTATCAGTTCCAGCTGCTTTACCCCCTTTCATTCTACGCAATGCCTCACGTACCTCCCCCACACTTACATTCTGCTCTTCTCACTCCTAAAAGATGGTATACCTCCCTGACCATGCATGAAATTACTGCCTCTCTTTCTTCCTTAACATTTAAAAGTTCCTCAAAAATTTTCTTGCCATCTACCTAATACCTCCATCTCCCCATCTACTAACTCCCCTACTCTGTTTTTAACTGACAAATCCATACTTTCCCTAGGCTTTCTTAACTTGTTTAACTCACTCCAAATTTTTCTTATTTTCATTAAAATTTCTTGACAATGCCTCTCCTACTCTATCATCTGCTCTCCTTTTTGCACTCTCTCACCACTCTCTTCACCTTTCTTTTACTCTCCATATACTCTGCTCTTCTTAAAACACTTCTGCTTTGTAAAAACCTCTCATAAGCTACCTTTTTCTCTTTTATCACACCCTTTACTTCATCATTCACCAATCACTCCTCTTTCCTCCTGCCCCCACCCTCCTATAACCACAAACTTCTGCCCCACATTCTAATACTGCATTTTTAAAACTATTCCAACCCTCTTCAACCCCCCACTACTATCTTTGCACTAGCCCCCCTTTCTGCCAATAGCTTTTATTGAGCCTTAATATATAAAGTGTTAACATGTTAAATCAGGCATTTAGATGCATTCAATTTATGAAAAACTGTTTTTTTTCCAACCTGAAGAGGGTTGGTAACCTAAGAGCTGTACAAACAGGGCCCTTCTGTACTTCTATTTCAAATCTTATATGAGGTTGTTTGGTGTATCCAATTAGGTAGAAACAAAACAAGGAAGGATCCATTAATATGATTTACCAACCTGGGGTCAAAAACACATGCAAACAAAAGGATAGGTGAGGTATGTCAAGCAGACAGGATGTATATGTTATATCTGTTCAAAGTGCATTTTAATTTAAATAACCATGAAGTTCCAATTTTCTAGAGTAATGCTGACCACTTTATTAGTAAATAACAATGTATTATACCAAAAGAAAAATATCTGGCAACAAACACATGTACATTTGTTGTGTTGCTACACAAAAATAAGCTAGATACAATTTACTGTTTGTTTTCTTTTTTTCTTTTATCAGGTTTAAAACCAATCAACTATATAAGGATCATTAAAGCTGAAAGTCATCTGTATATTACCAGTGGAGGATATTTTAATACTGTAGTAGTTTATTAAAGTAAACTTCGTGTATTATACCCTGAAAGATAAGTTATTACCCTTGACAATTTTATTGTACAGAAAGATTGATTCACAGCACTTACCCCAAGCCCTTATACAGACCCCAGAATTCACTGCTAAAACAAATATTTCTTTGTGCAGTATTAAGAAAATGTAGCTTGTAGTATTAAATATTAAGCACAAAAGAAAGCCTAGCATGCATTTCAGGTAGATAATCCTAATGCTTATAGAACTACTTAAGACAGGGCTTAGTTATTGAGTGGTACATACACTTGATATGAATTACGGGACTTGTACAGATCACAACTTACCGTATGTTATATAGCCTTAATATCTTGATCGGCTTTGCTTAAATATTCGTTTTGTAGTCTCTTCTGGTGTCATATCCAAGGAAGCTCGAAGAGCTTTAAACAAATCATCAAGAAGAAATATGACCTTTACCCCCCCCCGATCAAAAAAGTTTTTTAAAAGCCCCACTTGAGATATTCTTCTTGTTGGCTGGCTCTTTAATTACTGACAGTATCCTACAAGATATTCACGAAAAAATCAATGGTACTCGAGTTGTCCTGAAAAAAAAAAAAATAGTAATTCAATTATTTACCATAAAAATATTCATTAAAAATGAGGGACCTAGTTACAAGGTATATACCATCTAAAAGTTTAACATTTAATGATCTAACAAGTTATTTATTCTTATAGTCCATGGTGTCCTCAGTTCTTCTTTGTGTTAAAATCCTTGTATTTAAAAAAAATTTTTTTCCCACCCCATTACTTGACCTATTTTTACCAAAAAGAAAGAGATAAAAGTTGATTAATAAAAAACTCTGAAGTAATAGTATCTCCAACCTTTAGCCAAAGGGAGTAAAGTATAACCTCAAACTAGAGTGACTCTTGGAATGAGGGAAATTTTTGATGCCTTGCTGGCATACGTCAGGTTGGAATACAAGTAGGGGAAAAAAGACTAATCAATTTAATAATCAGCCCTGACAAAGCAACTACTGATGCTTCTTTGTTAGGATGTGTGAGTGTGAGGATGTGTTGGGGACCCCTTACACCCCACAAAGAAAGTTTCAGAAAGAAAAAGATAAAATGATATGATACTTTCCTGATGGGGATACCAATTTCTTACCTTATCATACAACTTAAACAGCTCAACAAGGGCTGGTTCGGATTCAGGGATGCCTAAATATTTTGCAAAGTCTGTGAGTGTGATTTTTCCTTCACTGATGGCAATATCTGCATACTGACTCAAAAGTTTTTCTTCAACATTCTTCAAATTCAAACTGAAATTTAAATAACGATATGATATAATCTGATATGACAAAGAAAATATTGTACATGTTATACAGTATGTCTTTCATACTGTAGTACATATATCGTAAATTACTTAAAGTGGGATTAATATGAGGTAAAAGTTTCATTAGACACTGTAATATTGTAGGAAAAAAAAGTAGACATTAGAAACTGGATAAGATAAATGAGAAATAAACTAAAGTATGAGGTAATGCTGTGAAGCCTTTGGTAACTGGAAAATATAAACTGTTTCCCCCACCTTCAGAGGGGTGATGCCAGTGAAGGATTTTTGATTTAAGGAACTGAAGCACTCTTACCCTTCCTAGGGCCAGACCTAATTATCTTCCATTTCCCAAGTGTAGAGTAGCCCCATTAAAGATATACATTCGCCATTATTCATTCAATATCTATCTTGCCAGAAAAATAGATATCATAATTCAAATGACCTACTGAGCTGTATCATCTCTGCCCCTCCTTCAGAGTGCAGGCACTGTACTTCCCACCTCCCAGTTTGCTTCCCTGAATCCTTTAATAAATGTTACCTAGCTCACACTCCAACATCACATGTGATCTCACATACTCTCACAAGCCTGCTGGATGCTCAAGCCCTGGCATTCAGAACCTAATTTACCACCTCCTTCCAGTCATTCCTGGGATGACCCTTACTCCTCCTTCCTTCCATCCAGTTTGCATACCTTCCTAAGCCTATCCGTCCTATCCCTCTCTATCCTCTTTATATGCCCAAACCATCTCAACAAGCTCTCATCAGTTCTCTTAATTCTGTCTTTGTGATCCCACACTGTCTTCTAAGGTTTACACTCCAAATTCTTTACATGATATTCACATCACAAATCACTCTCTCAAACATGCCATCTCTACTTCCTCTACCCACCTCCTCAACGTAACATTCAAAGCCCAATCTTTACACAAAGGTGTTGGTACTATGATACTCTAGTACGTTTCCCTTTCTGCCTCCACAGATAAAACTTCTTGTGTTGAATGATGGTGAAAGTGTTTCTTTTTTGGGTCACCCTGCCTCAGAGGGAGACAGTTTACCTGGAGTTTACCTGGAGAGAGTTTCGGGGGTATGTTAAAAAAAAAAAAGAGTAAAGTTCTTTCCATAGATACCTTAACACACTACCCACATTTTGTTTTCCATCTATTCTATGGCTTATATAATCTTTCACAGACCCATCTATCAACAAGTCCACTTCCAAATACAACCATTTTCTTTCAATTCCTTCCATCCAATACATCCAACTTTTCATTGCCTAGACTTTATGTTACTCTCAATATCTTGCTCTTTTCTTTTTACTTTCAATTTTCTTCTTTTGCATACCCCCGAAATTACTTTTCCAACCTTTGCACCTTATCTTCAATATATATTAAAAGACTCATATCATTGGCAAAGAGTAACTGTGACCACTTGCACTCAGCACTATTTTTATTTTTAACACACTGGCCATCTCCCACTGAGGCAGGGTGACCCAAGAAAGAAATGCTTGCATAAAGCTTTTCTTCTTTTATAAGAACATGCACCTTGTTCATAAACAAGGATGCTGAACACAAGCTCTGTTGTTCCATACACAAGTCAGCTGGATATCAAAAGGCAACTTTGACAGGTTCAAACCAATCAACTTCAACAAGGAATATGTAAGTTTAAGTACCAGGCAATGTTGCTGGGTTGCATCAAATTTATCATCTTTTAATTCCACACCACTACCGAACACCCTATCATTCACTCTTACAGCTCCATCTATAAATATGTTGAACACTATATTAATAAATATATATTATGAACACTGGAGCAAATATTCTTCAGTGTTCACAAGTTTATCCTGTATTCTTACTCACCCAAGCCGATGACGAAGTTTTTGATACTCACCCAAGCCGATGACGAAGTTTTTGAAATTCAATTAGTCCAGTTTGACAGGGAAGATTCTTGAGTTTAGCCTTGTACATTAATCGACAATCATCGTAAGTATAATCAGCCACAGGAACACCAAGGGCACTGTGGAAAAAAAAAAAAACATTTTCATACATTAAGGTCATGATTTTACATGACTCATTCAATTTTCACACAGTCAAGAGTTATTTAATTAAAATACTAAGCAAAGAAGGAAACTGTGAGAGTTGAAGAGCTTTGACCAATGAGACTGCTCAGTGCTCTTGGCAATTAAAAGTGAATATGAACTTATATGGGAACACCCAAGATAAAAAAAATGTAACAAAAATCACCCATCTCAAAAACTAATAAATTCTATCTACCAACAAGGTCACAGAAAAAGTTACTAATGTGTGCAAAAGCAATGTTATGGATGTTGAGTGCTAGGGGTTGGAGCATCCAACAAGAGTTAATGAGCTTTTCACACCATACCTGGAGTATACCTGGAGAGGGTTTCGGGGGTTAACGCCCCCGCGGCCCGGTCTGTGACCAGGCCTCACAGTGGATCAGGGCCTGATCAACCAAGCTGTTACTGCTTTCTGCACATAGACTGACATACGAACCACAGCCTGGCTGGTCAGGTACTGACTTTAAGTGCCTGTCCAGCATCCTCTTGAAGACAGCCAGGGGTCTATTGGTAATCCTCCTTATGTATGCTGGGAAAAAGTTGAACAGTCTTGGGCACCTGACACTTATTGTGTTATCTCTTAGTGTGCTCGTGGCACCCCTGCTTTTCTTTGGGGAAATGTTGCACAGCCTGCCAAATATTTTTTTTTCATAGGGAGTGATTTTGTGTACAAATTTGGTACTAATCCCTCTAGGATTTTCCAGGTGTATACCGTATCTTTCCCGCCTGCATTCCAGGGAGTACAAGTTAAGGAACTTCAACCATTCCCAGCAATTTAGGTGTTTTATCATAATTATGTGTGCTGTAAAGGCTCCTGTACACTATCCACGTCAGCAATTTCATCTGCCTTGAAAGGCACCATTAGTGTACAGCAATATTCCAGCCTAGAGAGAATAAGCGACTTGACGAGAATCATCATGGGCTTTGCGTCCCTAGTTGTGAAGGTTCTCATTATCCATCCCATCATTTTTCTAGCAGATGTGGTGGATATATTGTTATGATCTTTGAAAGTGAGATCCTCTGACATTATCATTCCTATTAGTTTTTCGTTCTACTGTGTGGTTGGAATGTGTTTTAAACTGCGATACAAGTGATTTTTATGACCTGATGTGCTGTTGAAGTGTGAGGAAGGTAACATTTATTAAGGTATTCAAATAAGGTTAGCTGGACTTGAGTCTTGGCGGTGGGAATTAGTGCTTGAATTCTAAAGGAGTGTTAGAAATGTTACAGTTCAGAGGGTCATCTGAACTGCAATACCTGTACACTTCTAACAAGACAAGCTATTGAACGAAAGATAGTGATATTTACTTTTATTTGGTGTCTCTCCTTATCTTGATGGCTGACAGCTGATGTATTAAAAAAATATTATGAGCCACTCTTACCTCTCACAATCAGCAGCAAGAGAAAAAGCAATGACCCAACTTTGAGTGTATAGGATCACTGGTAAAATAATACCTACACCAATAAACAAGGACATGTTGCTATGTTATAGGTAGTAGGTTGGTAGACAGCAACCACCCAGGGGATTACTACCGTCCTGCCAAGCGAGTGTGAAACAAAAGCCTGTAATTGTTTTACATGATAGTATGACTGCTGGTGTCTTTTGTCTGTCTCATAAATATGCAAGATTTCAGGTACGTCTTGCTACTTCTACTTACACTTAGGTCACACTACACATACATGTACAAGCATGCATGCATGCATATATATATATATATATATATATATATATATATATATATATAATATATATATATATATATATATATATAATATATATATATATATATATATATATATATATATATATATATATATATATATATATAATATATATATATATATATATATATATATATATATATATATATATATATAATATATATATATATATATATAATATTATTAATATATATATATATATATATATATATATATATATATATATATATATATATATATATATATATGCAAAAACAGTGATAATGTGCGAGTGTGGTGAAAGTGTTGAATGATGATGAAAGTATTTTCTTTTTGGGGATTTTCTTTCTTTTTTGGGTCACCCTGCCTCGGTGGGAGACGGCCGACTTGTTGAAAAAAAAAAAAAAAAAAAAAAATATATATATATATATATATATATATATATATATATATATATATAAAATATATATATATATATATATATATATATATATATATATATATAAATTACAGAGGAATAAGTTTACTGAGTACACCAGGAAAAGTATACGTAGAGTTATAATTGAAAGAATTAGAGGTAAGACAGAATGTAGAATTGCGGATGAGCAGGGAGGCTTCAGAGTGGGTAGGGGATGTGTAGATCAAGTGTTTACATTGAAACATATATGTGAACAGTATTTAGATAAAGGTAGGGAAGTTTTTATTGCATTTATGGATTTAAAAAAAGGCATATATAGAGTGGATAAGGAGCAATGTGGCAGATGTTGCAAGTTTTATGGAATAGGTGGTAAGTTACTAAATGCTGTAAAGAGCTTTTATGAGGATAGTGAGGCTCAGGTTAGGGTGTGTAGAAGAGAGGGAGACTACTTCCGGTAAAAAGAAAGGGGTCTTAGACAGGGATTGAAATGTCACCATGGTTGTTTAATATATTTATAGATGGGGTTGTAAAAGAAGTAAATGCTAGGGTGTTCGGGAGAGGGGTGGGTTTAAAATTATGGGGAATCAAATTCAAAATGGGAATTGACACAGTTACTTTTTGCTGTATACTGTGCTTATGGGAGATTCTAAAGAAAAATTGCAAAGGTTAGGGGATGAGTTTGAGAATGTGTGTAAAGTGAAAGTTGAAAGTGAACATAGAAAAGAGTAAGGTGATGGGGGTATCAAATGATTTAGATAAAGAAAAATTGGATATCAAATTGGGGAGGAGGAGTATGGAAGAAGTGAATGTTTTCAGATACTTGGGAGTTGACGTGTCGGCGGATGGATTTATGAAGGATAAGGTTAATCATAGAACTGATGAGGGAAAAAAGGTGAGTGGTGCGTTGAGGTATATGTGGTATATGAGGTATATATATATATATTTTTTTTTTTCAACAAGTCGGTCGTCTCCCTCTTGGTTTTCTGCTATTTTCTTTCTAGTTCTTGTTTATTTCCTCTTATCTCCATGGGGAAGTGGAACAGAATTCTTCCTCCGTAAGCCATGCGTGTTGTAAGAGGCGACTAAAATGCCGGGAACAAGGGGCTAGTAACTCCTTCTCCTGTATAAATTACTAAATTTAAAAAGAGAAACTTCTGTTTTTCTTTTTGGGCCACCCTGCCTCGGTGGGATACGGCCGGTTTGTTGAAAAAAAAAAAAAAAAATGTTGCTATGTGCATCTAGCTTTTATTCCATGCTGGAAGTCATTAATATAAATTGCTGGCCAACACAACTGTAAGGCAAACTGATGTGCTGTAATACAAATCTTATGGTTGCTTATATAAACAAATGGTATATGGTAGGTGGAAGTATATCTTTACAGCTGGTCTTAGAAATGAGCAGAGGTTAGGATAACAGCTCTTGGTCTGTATCAATAAAAAAGGTAACACATAAACCAGCATTGGGGAAAAAAAAAAAGAAAAATCAAACAACCTGAATTATTATACTGTACTTGGGTAGAATTAACCCTTAAACTGTCCAAACGTATATCTACGTTTTTTCAACATCTGAAAGTATGTAAAAAAGTAGATCTTCTTTTCTTTTTTTACATTTGAGAAAGTGTAAAAAAACTTTGATCTACGTTTTTTTTTTTTTGTTATATTTGAAAATATGTAAAAAAAAAACATAGATCTACTTTTGGAGCACTACACATGTGAACGTAGATCTGCTTGGACAGCTTAAGGGTTAACAGGCAAGAGAAATTATACTTACTCAGCCATAACTTGCCGAACATTATTAGCAAATAGTTTGGCATCTTGCTTTTCTTCCTCATTGGGAGTGTATACAGGCAAATACTCCAATTCACAAAAATTGTGGAACTGGCAAAGTGTTACCCAAAGCATTTTTAATCTGTTAAAAGAAAAATGGAATTAATTTTGATGTGAATACTATGTGCACATTTTTAGAGTGGGTGACAGATAATGCTGATCATTATTTAATGGCAGCTACATTGAGAGAATGAGGTTGGAGCACAAGGTTATCAGTGAGTAAGAGTGAAGTAAAAGTGAATGAACTAAAGAAAACAGTTAGGGTAAGATATAAGCAACTTCTGGGTGAGAGACGGGTTAGAGAAAGAGTACAGGTAATGAGGTGGAAAGTCAAAGAGGTATAGGGTAGATTTAAGAATGCAGTGCTATATCTGTAGTAGAAGTCTGCAAGCACAGGAGGTATTGGATTGTCCTAAGAAATGTGGGAGAGAAAAGCTAAAGGAGATTTTGAATGTTAGAGACTTTAACTTGAAGATTTGTAGGCTAGTTATAATAGTTGAATACTACTGAAATAGCTAAGAATTTGGTTGAAAGGAGCAATGGAACTGACTTTTAATAGGACTCAAAGTGGGCAAAATTGCCTTAGTGTAAACTGCGCCCAGACTGCTAACTTTGTGCCTGTGTAATTCCAAGAGTTTTCCATAAAATTTCATACTTTTTGTATCATTACCTTCAGAAAGATTCTTGACCATTTCAGATTTAAAAAAAAAAAAAGCGAACACTGGGAGCAATATTAATTTTGGAGCTCTGGACAGTGAAAGGGTTAAGAAACTGAAGACAGTAAAATGGTATGTAATGAGGCTAGTTCCAGAGCTAAGGGATATGTAATATGAGGAAATGCTAACAACATTGGAGGACAGAAGAACCAGGAGAGACATGATAACATTATACAAAATACTGATAGGGTAGACAGGGACAGTCTATTTGAGAGGTACTCAGGGATACAGCTGGAAGGTAAAGACACAGATGAGCCACAAAGATGTCAGGAATTATGTTTTCAGTCTCACGGTAGTCAGGAAGTGGAATAATTTCGACAAAAAAATGGTAGAAGCAGACTCCATACTGTACATGATTTTAAGAGCAGGTATGACAGAGTTCACGAGGCTAGAAGGGAGTGAATCAGGTAAGTGGCAGGTTGAGAGACAAGGCCAAGAGCTAAGACTTGACCCCTGCAACCATGTAGAGGTACAGTAGGGCCCTGCTTTACGGTGTTTCACCTTACAGCGTTCTGCTAATACAAACTTTTCAAATTATGACCAAAACTCGCTATATGGCTCCCCCCACCTGACTTTTTAATACAGTCACCACGCCCCAACCAGTTTGTTTACATTCTTCATGAGCACTGTGTCTCTCCATTATGTCTGGAAACTTTCCAAAATTTCAAGTATTTTAAAGTTATTTCATGTTTTATATACACATATTTTTTTTTCAACAAGTCGACCGTCTCCCACCGAGGCAGGGTGACCCAAAAAGAAAGAAAATCCCCAAAAAGAAAATACTTTCATCATCATTCAACACTTTCACCTTATTCACACACAATCACTGTTTTTGCAGAGGTGCCCAGAATACAACAATTTAGAAGTATGTACGTATAAAAATACACAATATACTCTGAAAAGGTTGGAAGGAGGGGGTAAGGGAGGTTTTGTGGGCGAGGGGTTTGGACTTCCAGCAGGCGTGCGTGAGCATGTTAGATAGGAGTGAATGGAGATAAATGGTATTTGGGACCTGACGATCTGTTGGAGTGTGAGCAGGGTAATATTTAGTGAAGGGATTCAGGGAAACCGGTTATTTTTATATAGCCGGACTTGAGTCCTGGAAATGGGAAGTACAATGCCTGCACTCTAAAGGAGGGGTTCGGGATATTGGCAGTTTAGAGGGATATATTGTGTATCTTTATATGTACAGTATATGCTTCTAAGCTGTTGTGTTCTGAGCACCTCTGCAAAAACAGTGATTATGTGTGAGCGAGGTGAAAGAGTTGAATGATGATGAAAGTATTTTCTTTCTTTTTGGGTCACCCTGCCTCGGTGGGAGACAGCCGACTTATTAAAAAAAAAAAAAAAAAAAAAAAAAAAGTGTACCTGTACCAAAAATAAACTTACACACTGTGCTGGCATGCAGGTACACATTAAAATCACTAACAGTGTCTTATTAGTCTTGAGGATGCCACATTAATAATGATAATAATAATACGCAATAATAATCACTCTGAGGCGCATTAAATGTCGCATATTATGTTAATATAAACAATTTCTTTAATCTATGATATTTTTTTCAAAATTATATAATAAACAAGCTACGTAATATATAAACTTGATAAATACACCCCACAGTAGAATAAATTAACATAAATATAAGATGTTAGGTGTCGATGAAAGTATCAACTAAAAGCAGATGCGTTCATCTTTGTTAACATCCTTCGCATCTCTCTCCTCCCTCACTGACTCGTTCTCTCTCTCATTTATTCATTTTACCTCGTTTACTCACCTGTCACCCTACATTAAGACTACAAATATTTTATGGTAAGTAATGAGGGTGTGTAAAGGTAGAAAGTTGGAAGTGAACATAGATAAGAGTAAGGTGATGAGGGTATCATATGATTTAGATAAAGAAAAATTGGATATCACATTGGAGAGAAGGAGTATGGAAGAAGTGAATGTTTTCAGATATTTGTGAGTTGATGTGTCAGCAGATGGGTTTATGAAGGCTGAGGTTAACCACAGAATTGATAAGGGACAAAAGGTGAGTGGCGCGTTGAGGTATATTAGGAGACAAAAAACGTTATCAATGGAGGCAAAGAAGGGAATGTATGAAAGTACAATGGTACCAATACTCTTATATGGGTGTGAAGCTTGGGTTGTAAATGCTGCAGCAAGGAGGCAGTTGGCAGCAGTGGAGATGTCCTGTCTAAGGGCAATGTGTGGTGTAACTATTATGCAGAAAATTCGGAGTGTGGAAATTAGGAGAAGGTGTGGAGTTAATAAAAGTATTAGTCAGAGGGCTGAAGAGGGGTTGTTGAGGTGGTTTGGTCATTTAGAGAGAATGGATCAAAGTAGAATGACATGGAAAGCGTAAAAATCTGTAGAGAGAGGAAGGCGGGGTAGGGGTCGTCCTCGAAAAGGTTGGAGGGAGGGGGTAAAGGAGGTTTTGTGGGTGAGGGGCTTGGACTTCCAGCAAACGTGCATGAGCGTGTTAGATAGGAGTGAATGGAGACGAATGGTATTTGGGATCTGACGAGCTGTTGGAGTGTGAGTAGGGTAATATTTAATGAAGGGATTCAGGGAAACCAGTTATTTTTATATGGCAAGACTTGAGTACTGGAAGTGGGAAGTACAATGCCCGCACTTTAAAGGAGGGATTTGGGATATTGGCAGTTTGTGTATCTTTATATGAATATGCTTCTAAACTGTTGTGTCCTGAGAACCTCTGCAAAAACAGTGATTATGTGTGAGTGAGGTGAAAGTGTTGAATGATGATGAAAGTATTTTCTTTTGTTTTGGGTCACCCTGCCTCAGTGGGAGACGACCGACATGTTGAAAAAAAAAAAATAATGAATGTACTGTACATGCATTTTATTGTTCTGGGGCACTTTAAATTTCGTAGTATATTACGTGTGGGTTGGGTTGGGTGGGGTGGCCTGGCTGGCTACCATACCTCCCACATCTGACTTCCTACAAATAAATATGACTCGCCTCTCACCCTACATTAAGACTACAAATATTTTAAGGTAAGTAACGAGCGTGATGTGTGTATTTTACTTTTTATTGTTTTTAGCCCTTAAACTGTCCAAACGTAACTCACGAAATCGTAATCTCAAAACGCGACGGTCTGGAGTTTTGAGACTCTCTGACCGCGGGTTCAATCCCGGCCAGGGTATGGTTTGTCCAAATGTAGATCTATGTTTTTTCAACATTTGAAAGTATGTAAAAAAGTAGATCTTTTCTTTTTTTACATTTGAAAACGTGTAAAAAAACTTTGATCTACGTTTTTTTTTGTTATATTTGAAAATATGTAAAAAAAACGTAGATCTACTTTTGGAGCACTACGCATGTGAACATAGATCTGCTTGGGCAGTCTAAGGGTTAATGCCTAGTTCTATTGCTAACTTAATATATATTAGTTGTAAACTTGTTATCTGGCATATGTATGCATTTATAAATGGAAAAAATGGCGTTCTGCTTTTCGGCGAAGTCCGCTTTCCGGCAGTAGCCTAGAACCTAACCTGCCGTATAAGTGGGGCCCTACTGTATGCGATTACTGTAAAGCACCCTGTAGTCCTCTTCTTTGACATTTCTCTGAAAGAAGGCATCTAACTAGCTTTCTCAATGAATTATAAGGCTGTAGAATTGTGAAAGTAACTCAAGAAACACTTTGGAAAAATTAAGGTGATGGGTGTATAATTAATGTTGTGCCTGGATACCCAGGTGTTGCATCTCACTGTTGGTATGTTGATATATCAAAAATGTTGTCCTTCTTTACAGAGGGAAAGGTACACAACACTTCAATCCCTTCAAAAGCTTAACCAACATCTTGCTACTAAACAATGTGTATTTCTTACGCTCCAGGACCATCCCAAGTCCAAGTAAAAGAGTCTGTGCGGTTGTGGTACCGGATGATGACTGGTTGAACAGGCACTCCTGGATAGAATGCTCCAGGCTTAAAGGTAATCAGGCATGAGCGATTGGTGCATGTTCCTTCTGGGAAGACCATTACCTGGAAATTTATAAACCTTTTAAAACTTGGTTTTATCCAATTATTTTATCACAAAATTTTTATACTGTTCAAGCAAGCAAAAACAAAACAAAAAATTTATGCATTAATTAAGTTGCAGATTACTCTAATAACAAGGACAATCGATACCTTAAAACAAAACTTCTGTTGTATACCATGTATATATAAATTATTTTATATTTAAATATAACAGTAATACAGTGCAACACTGCTAGGTCAGGTTCTTTTACTACTATCTCCTACACCCCACCCACCATTAAAGCAGAAATCACCAGCACCTCAGACAGGTCAGGTTACAGATTGGAAAAACTTACGGGTTATAAGATGAAGTTAATATAGATTATTCAGCATTTACGTTTATTACAACCTGGACAGTTGTTCAGGTCTCAGTCGTCTCCATAAAACTATCCTGAAGCAGACTTGTTTACATGTGTCTAATTTAGAGGTCTTTCCTAGGCACAAGCAAATTTCTTTAGTGAAATGCATAGAAATCAGAAGTGTCTAGGGGCTGCTTGATTCTGCTTTTATTACAATGCTAGCAGTATCCCATGTACAGCAAATGCTTAAGGCACTATTCTAAATTATATACTATTCCTTAGTTTTACTTAAAGTTAAAATATCTCTTATTGTCAAATACATAGTTTATCATGATTTGTTAGTAAATATGGTTGCTAATATTCCCATGAGTATTCAGGTAATGACAGATTTATGTTTAAAATATCCTTAATTCAGTAATGAAAAAACCTACAAATGTTTTTTTGGAGATAAAGGAAGCTTTCAGCACTAGGGGTTTGAACATCCAACAGGCTTGTGTGAGTGTTAGATCAGTGAGTAGAGACAAGTGGTTTTTATGAATTGACAAGCTGTTGGAAGGTGAGCAAGGTAACATTCATAGAGAGATTCAGGGAAACCAGTAAAATGTACTCGTGTCCTAGGGGCAGGAAGTACAGTGCCTATACTATAAAGGAGGAGTGATGATTTTACAAGTCAGAGGGCCATATGAACTGTGATGTCAGCACATGTCTAGCAAGACAGTAACTGAATGAATGATGATGAATTCATTTTTTTTTTGTCACTACTTTGGTGAGAGATGGGTGGTGTGTTAAAAAAAAGATAAGTTAAACATCATATTTAGCTTTTTGCAACACTGTTCAAGACAGATATAACATATGTTAGTCTGCTGCTAATGTTTAGCATTTTCTTTTCCCCAAGTGCTGGGGTCATCTCGCTGCCCTTTAAACTAACCAAACTGCACTTTAAAAAATAAAAATTTCAACAAAATCAGTTGATAAATTTGTTAAAATTAACAAGTTTGGATGGCTTAAATATCAATTATTCAAAAAGTAAACAAATTGTCAAAGAAAACTGAAGAACAATGAAACTAAAGAATTAATAAACAATAAACAAAAACCAACAGTCATTTTAATACTGTACCAAAGTACACCAGATGTACAAGTGGGAGATGACAGTAGTTGAAAAAGTAATTATAATCATATGGACAAGCTAAACCAATGAAGATCCTATAACACCTGGGAATGGGAGGCAATTAAATATGTATACAATATTTACCTGTGGCCAATCTTCTTCACTGGTAGCACGACGCTTTATTTCCTGGATAGTATTTTGGCGAGAATTTGTATCTTCTCGCCAGACATACACAGGTTGTGTATAATCAATATATTCTGCCAGAAATAAAGAATAAATAAATTCTTCAATAAAGCTGCCTGTATTGCATAAACCAAAACAGTGATTTTGAACAATATATAAATATTAATACAATATTATTATACCCAGTAGACTACAATACATGTAAAGTTTCTCATAAAACATTTTATCTGAAAATTTAGCTATAATATTTAGCTTAGAAGTGAAAATATTTATTATATCATCACTTACATATCTAAGTTATTACATTTCTTTCACTACCTGTGCCATCCTATGATTAGCATTAAAACATCTAAGTACTGCAATTTTCCTTGATAAACACATTTCTGCTGCACATTCTACCCTGTGCCTTAACATAATATCCATCACCACCCAAAACTTATGTAGATGCAAACTCCTTCCCATTTTGCCACACACGATGAAGTTCAGTGCCATTTCAGCAACTTTCTGAGTACAGTATTCTTCGTAGTCCGTTGTTTACCTTTTAACAAATTTTGAAACTACATTTACCAAAAATCTTCATTTTACAAAGAAATTATTCAGAGAGTAACATCTTAACAATAAATTCCTATTATCCATTATTAGAATGTGATCTGGTTAATAAATACATTACTATATATACATACAGAAGTATTTACATGGTATTAAAATTTTTATTTTGTTAAAAAAGTGATACCGTCATAGGCAATACCATATTTCAAAAAGCAGAGGATAAGTAAATACAGGCTATATCCAGGTCATGAGTTGCAGTCATGGTTCATAAAATTCCAAATGAGCTTGCTGTATGGAAAACAACAGTACAAAGGATGGTTATGTTTCACACATTCATACTGCAACTTGGGTGGTTGCAAACTATTATTGGTTCTACATGTTTCATTTTTTAATATGGATGTGTAACTTGTGCTGACTACATTGTGGGACCTTCTGAATCTTTACAAGTTATAATTAAGTGTTAATGTGCAATGAGAGCTGTATGCTAATGGATACAATGTTGAAGGATTGACTTGTAGTGTGCAGGTTTTTTCTTAACAGTGACTGGCATGTCTGATCAATATTTAGTGGTAACTAGAGTATGGGTATAGGAAAGTAGGGTACAAGAGAAGGGTGTCAACAGGTAAAGAGGGAAGTGGAAATAAATGTGTTAAAATAGGGGATGGTAAGGTAGAGGTCTGAGTAACTTTTGAAAAAGGATGGCTAGGGTAAAAGTGATAAGGCAATGATTAGATGCAGTAGGTGTGATCTAAAGAATAAAAAGGAACAATACCATATAGTATAGAAGAGAGAAAAGCAAAGATTTGTAGAATGATGAAGTGAAAGACTGGAAAGGAAGATAAAGTTAGCACATAAAAATTTTTACATTATATGCAAAATATGAATAAGATAAGACAGAATATACAATAATAGCAAGTATGAGATTAGGATGCGTGATGTCGGTTGCTGCTTTAATATATTTATACCCAGGTGAGGTTCCTAAAAAAAGTAAATACTGACTGGTGGGAAGAGGTGCAGGCTAAAATAATGATGACTCTGACAGAAAAATGGGATTAAAAAAAAACCATACCGCGGATGGGGATAGAACCTGCGTTCAGAAGTCTCAAAACTCCAGACCTGATCGCGGGTTCTATCCCCGTCCGTGGTATGGTTTGTTTGCAATCATGTCATTACGATTTGTGAGTCAGAAATGGGATTAGTCACAGTTATTCCTTGCTTACAACACACAGTTTTTGGAAGATTTGGAAAAGAATTTTCACAAGCTGGGTATCCTAGCACTAAGTGAGACAAAGCTAAACGATCAGTATATCTGAGAGAATCGGAGCTAGGGCAGGAATAGCAGTAATATTAACTCTTATACTGTTGATCATGTACATCATGTACATCGTGAGACTAATTTTGGTGCCACAGATCTATGCTTAAATTATGGTGCCCTCAAATTTGCTGTGAGTGGCAAATTTAAGTCTAGACTTGAAAGAATGGGTCTCAACACTGGGTGTGAACTGTTTACAAAAAATTGTTTCCCCATGCAAAGCATGATGGGAACAGCTAACCACTGTTCCCTGGGTGAAAATATCAATTTTGCGTCATTTTCTAGGGTGATGTTCGTAGTTTTTTGGTGTCAACAGACTGGAAGGCATACTCATAAGATAAACAAGATCTGAGCAGTAGCTTGAAATACAATAGGCGTTAAATTGACAAAAAATGATAAAGTTTGAGAGATTTTCGAGGGAGGGGAGAGAAAGGCCCCCTACCTTGTCTGTTTTATGGATTTTTTAATAGATCAGCTTCAATTATTGGGACAACCTAAACCCTGACCAAGCATTCTTTAATATGGTTTATTAGCAGAAAAACAGCACTAGGTAATACACTGTACTTTTGAAAAAGAGGCTAAGTACAGTACTATACAAGATTTGATGCAGGGTGCAGTAACAGCAGTTTTAAAAATTATGCACTAACAGACAAGAGGTCACCAAGTACACTTAAAAGAAGGAGACAATTTCAGAAAGATTTTTTTTTCTTTTTTTTTTAACAAGTCGGCCGTCTCCCACCAAGGCAGGGTGACCCAAAAAGAAAGAAAATCCCCAAAAAGAAAATACTTTCATCATCATTCAACACTTTCATCTCACTCACACATAATCACTGTTTTTGCAGAGGTACTCAGAATACAACAGTTTAGAAGCATGTATGTATAAAGATACACAACATATCCCTCCAAACTGCCAATATCCCAAACCTTTCCTTTAAAATGCAGGCATTGTACTTCCCATTTCCAGAACGATACAAGCAATTATTGAGGAAATGGTGGGTTAGAAAAAATGCTGGAAATGAGGTGGTGGTGGTCAAGGAAAAATGGGGTAAATTTGAGAAAGCATTGCTAGAGTGAGAAGCAGAGGTTTGTGAGTATAGGAGGGTGGGTGGGTGCAGATGGGAAGAGGAATGATTGGTGGAATGAGGCAAAGAGAGTGGTAAGGAAGAAAACATGAGCATACAAGAGGCTTCTGCAAAAATTAAAAATGTTTGATGGAAAACAGAGTATATGGAGAGGATGAGGGATGTTGAAAGAGTAGTGTGTGAGTACAAAAGGAGAGCTATTGAAAGAATGGGCAACTCCGTATGAGAAAATTTTGAGGAAAATAAGGAACTATTTTAGAGAGATCAATAAGGTGAGGAAACCTGAAGAGCAAATGTACTCAAAGTTAAAAACAAAAGAGGGGAGATGTTACAACAGGAAGGTGGAGGTACTGGAAAGCTTAACCCTTTCAGGGTTGCCAGGCCCTCTCTGAGATTTGCTCTCAGGGTCGCCAAATTAAAAAAAAAAAATTTCCTATGAAAAGATGGAGAATCTTTTCTCGATCATAATGACACCAAAAGTACGAAATTTGATGGAAAACTTACAGAATTATGCTCTCGTGAAGTTAGTGGTCTCGACGATGTTGACGCATCGGCGATTTTGCCCACTTTGAGCCCTATTTTCGGCCAATTCCAGTGTACTAGTTGACAAAAATCATAACTATTTTGCTAGAACTCCATTTTTTCTATCGAATGAGTACAAGAAACCACCCATTTACCAATTTCAACTATCCAATACAGTGGTCAGAATTTAGCAATTTGACAATTTCACACAAATTTCAAAAGATGCCAATTTCCAAATAGGGTCCAGAATAAACAAGAAAGACATTCCTGGCACTAAAATAACATTTCCTCTGTTCATTAGTCATGTCCCCATGCCCCTCTTACATTCTTTTGCTTTCCACTTTGAATTTTTATTCTCACAAAAAAATAGAAGATTTACTGTTATGCACACTACTGCATTAGTGTAGAAATGATATAAATAATATCGGCGCACTTGTGGAAGAATATAAGACTCACCAGTTGACGTGTATTGGACACTTAGCATAATTTGTTTACTTTTGAATTTTGGTAAAAATCGAACATTTCTGCTACTTTGAGCTCAATTTCAAGGTACTTTTCATTGTAAAACCAGTGAAAATCATCTCAATTTATGTAATATGTCTTCCATTCTATAAAATGAGACCAGGAAAACTAGAATACAACAATAAATACCATACAAAAATACAGTGCAAAGCCGCTGTTTTAATCCAGAAACACGGTCAAAGTTTTTTTTTTCTCATTACACACTGTGTGCTGCAGGATTTTTTTATACTGCACACACTGACCACATAGACCCATTCTTTCATATGTAGGCCTACCAGCTTTCTCTCACTAGATTTGAGGGCGCTAGAGTTGAGGCGTACTAGTACGTCAAAAACCCTGGTGCGTAAGCTGTACTAGTACAGCCAAAACCCTGAAAGGGCTAAAAAGATATTTTGATGAGTTACTGAATGTTTATGACAAAAGAGAGAGGGTAAATTCATGCATGGGCAGGGATAGATAACATTGTATAGGAGTGAGAAGCCAGAGGTGAATGTGGGAAAAGTGCATAAGGCAACAAGTAGAATGAAAGAGGAAAAAACAGATGGGATAGATGGGATTAAGACAGGGATGTTAAGGGTAGTGTTGAAGTAGTAGGTATGTTTGTTCATTACATAAATGAAAGTAGAGAAGGTATCAAAGAATTAGCAGTGTGTGTGCAAAGTTCACTTGTATGCATATGGGGGACAAACAAAAATATAAGAATTATAGGGGAATAAAGCTGGGTATACAAAGTAAAATTTATGGTAGAATTATTATTCATCAGGGGTTAGAAAGTATGAGTGCAGTAGAGAAGGGAGGATTTAATAAGGTAGGGGATATGTAGACAAAGTGTCTTAATTGAAGCATATAAGGAAGATGTACTAATATAAAGGTAAAGAGCTCTTTGTTACATTTATGGATTTCAAAAAGGAATATGATAGGGTGAATTGAGAACCCATGTGGCAGATGTTGCAAATGTGTGGAATAGGAAATAGGTTACAAAAAGCAGCTAAGAGGTTTTGTGCAGAGGGTATGATTGGGTTATATAGGAGAGAGAAGGGACAATTTCCCAATGCAAGTAGGAGACAGGGATGTGTTATGTCACCATATTTGTTTATCATATTTCTAGATGGTGAAGTAACAAAAGTGAATGATAGGGTGTTGGGAAAAGGTGTAGGATTCAGATAATAATAACAATATATATTTATCTATGCCATACAAATAATGTAGATGGATCTGATACAAAGTGGGAGGTATTAGTTACTCTTAGCTAATGACAATTCTTTAGGGGGATTCTGAAGACAAGCTGCAAAGATTGGTGGATAAATTTGGGAGAGTATTTAAAAGGAAATTAAGTGAACATAGGAAACAGAAAGGTGATGTGGGTAACAAAAAGTCTAGGCAATGACAGATTGAATACCAGATTGGAAGAAGGGAGTATGGAGGCAGTGAATGTGTTTAGATACGTATTTGGAAAATTCATACTCTGGTACAAGGGAATGTACCAGAGTATAGTGGGCCAACACTTTTATACAGGTGTGAGGAATGGGAGCATGGGTTCTGAATATTGCTGCAAAATAGGAGGCAGAGGCAGCAAAGATAAAAACAAACAAGCAAACAAACACACACACAGCCAGAAGGTTTCAGAGTTGAGACACAGGAACAGGGGAACAAAATTGGAAGTTAAAAACTCAGATGAGTCATAGGAGTGTTAGGAAGTATTTCTTCAACCTTAGAGTTGTCAGGAAGTAGAACAATCCGGAGAGTGAAGCAGTGGAAGCAGGATCCATACATAGCTTTAAGAAGAAGTATGATAAGACTCTTAGAGCAGGGAAAGAGTGGACCTAGTAGAGACCAGCAGAGGTGGAGCCAGGAGCTGTGAATCAACTCCTGCAACCACAAATAGGAGAGTATACATGTATGCACATACACATATATACACATTCGCACATATACACATACATACACATATACACATACACACACATAGGGATAACGGGGAAGGCACTGCAATGAATCAGGGAATATCTGCCAGGAAGACAACAGCAGGTCATGGTACGTGGTGAGGCGTTAGAGTGGATGCCTGTGACGAGCGGGGTTCCACAGGGGTCAGTCCTAGGACCAGTGCTGTTTCTCGTAGAACAGACTCTGAAGTGTCATTGTTTGCAGATGATGTGAAGTTGATGAGAAGAATTCAATCGAATGGGGACCAGGCAGAACTACAAAGGGATCTGGACAGGCTGCAGGCCTGGTCCAGCAACTGGCTCCTGGAGTTCAACCCCACCAAGTGCAAAGTCATGAAGAATGGGGAAGGGCAAAGAAGACGCAGATGGAGTACAGTCTAGGGGGCCAGAGACTACAAACTTCACTCAAGGAAAAGAATCTTGGGACGAGTATAACACCGGGCACGTCTCCTGAGGCGCACATCAACCAAATAACTGCTGCAGCATACAGACGCCTAGCAAACCTAAGAACAGCATTCCAATATCTTAATAAGGAATCGTTCAGGACCATGTACACTGTGTACGTTAGGCCCATATTGGAGTATGCAGCACCAGTTTCGAACCCACACCTAGCCAAGCATGTAAAGAAACTAGAGAAAGTGCAAAGGTTCGCAACAAGACTAGTCCCGGAGCTAAGGGGCATGTTCTATGAGGAGAGGTTAAGAGAAATTGACCTGACAACACTGGAGGACAGGGCAGATAGGGAGGACATGATAACGACATATAAAATACTGAGAGGAATTGACAAGGTGGACAGAGACAGAATGTTCCAGAGATGGGACACAGCTACAAGGGGTCACAGTTGGAAGCTGAAGACTCAGATGAATTACAGGAATGTTAGGAAGTATTTCTTCAGTCACAGAGTAGTCAGGAAGTAGAACAGTTTGGGAAATGATGTAGTGGGGGCAGGATCTATACATAGCTTTAAGAAGAGGTATGATAAAGCTCATGGAGCGGGAAGAGTGGCCCAGTAGCAGCCAGTGAAGAGGCGGGGAGAGAAGCTGTAACTTGATCCCTGCAACCGCAACTAGGTGAGTACATCAACCAAACAACTGCTGCCAGCATACGGGCGCCTAGCGAACCTAAGAACAGCATTCCAACATTTTAATAAGGAATCGTTCAGGACCCTGTACACTGTGTACGTTAGGCCCATATTGGAGCATGCAGCACCAGTTTGAAACCCACACCTAGCCAAGCATGCAAGGAAACTAGAGAAAGTGCAAAGGTTTGCAACAAGACTAGTCCCAGAGCTAAGGGGCATGTCCTACGAGGAGAGGGTAAGGGATATCAACCCTACAACACTGGAGGACAGGAGAGAGAGGGTTGATATGACAATGACTTATAAAATACTGAGAGGAATCGACAAGGTGGACAGAAACAGGATGTTCCAGAGATGGGACACAGCAACAAGGGGTCACAGTTAGAAGCTGAAGACTCAAATCAATCACAGGGATGTTAGGAAGTATTTCTTCAGTCAAAGAGTTGTCAGGAAGTGGAATAGTCTGGGAAGTGATGTTGTGGAGGCAGGATCCATACACAGCTTCAAGAAGACGTATGATAAAGCTAATGGAGCAGAAAGAGTGACCTAGTAACCACCAGTGAAGAGGTGGGGCCAGGAGCTGTGACTCGACCCCTGCAACCACAACTGGGTTAATACAACTAGAGGAGTACATACACACACACATACAAACTCATATACACATACATAAATACATACACACACACACACACATATACCCATGCATGTATGCACATGACTCGGGTCCAGGAGCTGTGGATCGGTCCCTGAAACCACAACTAGGTGAGTACACACATCCACCCATCTTCTACCACTGTCTCTGACTTCTACATGTAGTATAAATATTGTTTGTAATTCTTCCTATTCTTTTAATTCTGCATGTGGGCATCCTTTTTATGGGTGATATAATATATGATCAGTTGGAGTGTGAGCAGGGTAATATTTAGTGAAGGGATTCAGGGAAACCGGTTATCTTTATATAGCCGGACTTGAGTCCTGGAAATGGGAAGTACAATGCCTGCACTCTAAAGGAGGGGTTTGGGATATTAACGGTTTGGAGGGATATGTTGTGTATCTTTATACATATATGCTTCTAAACTGTTGTGTTCTGAGCACCTCTGCAAAAACAGTGATTATGTGTGAGTGAGGTGAAAGTGTTGAATGATAATGAAAGTATTTTCTTTTTGGGGATGTTCTTTCTTTTTGGGTCACCCTGCCTCGGTGGGAGACGGCCGACTTGTTGAAAGAAAAAAAAAATAATAATATATGTACATGGTAAATTATGAGGAGATTCCCAATTATTCAAAATGTTTCCCAATCTGGACTAGCACTGATCTCATGATGTCTGAAACAACACCAGGACTCACCAAGTTATGTTTGTAGGAGCATGTTATTGGAGCATAAAAATACTGGTTACACATAATGAAATTTTTCATTGATCATTTAGAATTAATTGTCATCAGCAATGCATATTTACATGGTATAGTATTAAAATTTCCCAATACAGGATATCATGATCAACTTATTGCATACAGTTTTTTACATTAATAAGATGCACAACATGCACTTCATTTCACCTGAGGCAATACATCTAAAACTAACTTCTAGCATGCTACAATTTACAATTACTGTGTTATGGGAGAGTTCTAATCAAATTCAAGGTCTACTGGAAACATTACATATAACTTAGAAAGTATATGAGTGACAGAAGGGAGACAACAGACTAGCATTCATAGCCTATTAATTAAAAAATTAATACATTATCACTTTACAGTTCATATTGTATTTCACGAACATACTGACAAAACACATGAAAATATAAGATGAACAATTTGGAATGATGCTGTTGTATGGCACAATTTTTTGTTGACATTATTATAATTACTTTAAGCATTACAGAATGACATCAGGAAAACGTCACATGGCTGCACTGATGTACGATGTCGAGATATAGTAATAACTGAAGATGCTAGCAAACCACACACTCACTCCCTACTGCCAATGTGCCTAACATAAGAAAGTGCCTATTTAATCTGGAAAGCTGGTTTCTCCTACACTTTGAGAACACAGCATGTTAAACACCTACTGCCAAAGAGGGGTAGTTGTAGGTTCTCTATGCGGTTCACCAGACATGGAACATTGGACCAGTAAACTGCGATGGCATCAAAGAAACTGCTATGAGGCCCAACAATAAGGATGGGAGCTTCGGCTTTGGTTGCTAAGCGCCCTTTGATTTTGATCCATTGGTAGCCATAGCACCTCATCATCATGCGACCCATAAGGCCCATATACCACCGAATCTTCCTGTGGAGTCACAAAATATAACCTAAGTGAGATATTTCCTGGTAATTTTGAAACCCTTGGAAATGTGGCTGGAAAAAACTGATGCTATGTTGAAGAAGTCTGGAAAAAATTAAATACTGTAACTCAATACTGTAAAAGGTTGAATAAAACTCCAGCATCCACTCAAAAGACAAAGACTTGTTTTTGTCCTAAGTTACGTAAGTCTGTTAAGTACTATTTTCAAAACAATAACAAGTCTGTAAAGGTCACTATGACATCGGAATGTGTAGTTACCTACTGTATTAGTAATTACCTATTTATAACTACAGAAACATAACCATGATTGCAGAAGCCCATGAAATTTTATCATAATTAAAAAATTCCCAACACAGTACGTATTTACTGTGCTTAACTTTCTCCTAGAGCCTATTACATACAATTATCAAGTATATTACTTTATTTACCCCTTCTCCTGTATATATTACTAAATTTAAAAGGAGAAACTTTCATTTTTCCTTTTGGGCCACCCTGCCTCAGTGGGATACGGCTGGTACGTTGAAAGAAAGAAAGATTACTTTATTTGTAAAGAAAAATTCTGAATAAACATTCTTACTTCCGTTCATGCAAGACTGTGACCTCTTCTCCTCCCTCTTGTTCTAGTTCTAAAAACTTTACCCTATACATTTCTTCCTATTCGTTCAAACTTTTCTGTTTTCAATATCCGTTATTTTTTATATCAACACAGCATTAAGACTACTGCTACTATTAATAAAGGTAAAACAATATGTGAATGAGATAATGTATTCAATATTAGTGCAACAGATCAATTGCACATAAAACAGATAAAATTTGCAATAAAGGCAATACGTATGGAGATGGATAAACAGTCAGTATGAAAGAAGGGTTGAAAATAGTCACCAAGCTCTCTGATAAACAGGGCTATCTGTTAAATATGTTGATCAATCAGCAACTTGGAAATCCTCACAGTAAAGCAGGCCACCTTTCCATGAGATAATCATGGGCAAATCTGGTGTAACCAGTGTATAGTTGTGAGAGAACTGTCTTCTCCTATTAACATTAAGTGGAAACATTCAGCAGCCCAGATAAATAAAAAAAAGTGCTTACTTATACCACCATATAAATAACAATGAGGGTTCATAAGTTAGCACTGAAAATAACAGTCAAATGTATCAATTGCCCATGAAAAACAATTTTATTTTCAAACTGTACATAATTGTTAGAAAATAAAGTGGAATTTATCTGATACATTTTGAAAAAAAAAAAAGCTGGTTTTTGCAGAGTATTTAAAAACATAAGGAGAAATACTACAGCAGGAAGACCTCCTAGCCCATGCTAGGCAGGTCTAACTCACCCACTCATATACTTGTCTAACCTATTTTTAAAGATACACAAGGTTCTTGCTTCAATGATGCTACTCAAGTTTATTCCACTTATCCACAACCCTCTTACCAATCCACTGCTTTTCTATATCTTTTCTAAATCAAAATTTTTCCAACTTAAACCCACTGCAGCAAGTCCTGTCTAATATATTTTCAGTATGTTGTTTATATCTCCTTTATTTACTCCTGTCTTCCATTTCTACACCTTAATCATTTTTTTTAACATGTTGGCATTTCCCACTGAGGCAGAGTGACCCAAAAAGAAAGAAAAGCCCCAAAAGAAAGAAAAAACTTTCATCATCATTGAACACTGTCACTATCACTCATACATAATCATTGTCTTTGCAGAGGCACTCAGATATGGCAGTTTAGATGTCCCTCCAAAACTGCCGATATCCCAAACTACTCCTTTTAAGTGCAGGCATTGTATGTACTTTCCATTTCCAGGGCTATAGTCCAGCTAACCGGTTTCCCTGAATCCCTTCACAAAATATTACCCTCCTCACACTTCAACAGCTCGTTAGGTCCCAAAAAACCATTTGTCTCCATTCACTCTATCTAACATGCTCATATATATATACAGCCTCTCCTCACTTAGTGACGTACTCATTTACCGACGACTCGAACTTACGATGGGCTCTCTGACCAGTATACATGCCTAAATACAGTGGAACCCGGTTTTCATCCTTAATCCATTCCAGAAGGTCAGTCAAAATCCAAAATGGACAAAAACCGAAGTAATATTTCCCATAAGAAATAATGTATATCCAATTAATCTGTTCCAGACTCCCAAAAATATTAAAAAAAAATATATTTTATAGAGAATAACTATAGTTTTACATACAGAAAACAATGAGAAATATAAATGACTAATTTTAATGGATAAATAAACATTTAAATCACTGTTACCTTTATTGAAGATTCTTGTTGGCATATGGAAGAAGGCGAGGAGAGGAGAGGGAGGAGAGATTATTGTTTGTCCGAATTTGCAGCCTTGCCATGCCTTACCACACTGTGTATGCCACTTCGCTTCTTGAATCTGTCAAACCAGCGTTTGCTGGCCTTAAATTCACTAACAGCAGCACTCATTCCAGGCATTTTCTTTATGAGATCCACATGCAACCGCCTTGCCTTTTCACAAATTATCCCCTCCACAACACTATCTCCCGCTAAATGTTTTTTGTTGGTCCACACCAACAACAAGTTCTCCACATCTTCAATTGTTTGTGATCTCTGTTTCGTCAGCATATTTACCCCTTTTGCAACATAGCTTCCTCAATTTCTACTTTCTTCACCAGAATGGAACTGACTGTTGATTTGGACTTGCCATACATCCTGGCGAGCTTGGCCACACATACGCCACTTTTGTATTTTGGTACAAGCTCTTTCTTGAATTTTATTGTGTTTTCACCTTCTTTACCAAAGGGCTGGCACTAGGAACTTTCTTTGGCCCCATGGTGGCTTATTTGCAGTTGTACTCAATAAACAAACACAAAAAACAATTTATTATTATGAAATGTTTCAGATGAACATGCAGAGTATTGCTCACTGAACAAGTGACAGAGGCAGACTGAGTCACATGTGTGAGCGGCTGCGTCCCGGGTGAGCAGACGCGTCTGATATGGATGATTTCTGAGCAGAGGTACAAAACATGGGGTAAAATTTCACCCAAAAACGTGGTCAAAATCCGAATTGTACATTATCTGCACCAGACGAAATCTGGGGTTCCACTGTAATGTATATTAGAGCTGATTTCCTCTATTCTATTTAATACAATATGCAGTACACTACAGTATAAACGTTTAAAAATGCAGTAGACCGTCATTTAACACAGTAGTTATGTTCCTGAAAATGCCATTTTAGTCAAACTGAAGAACTTAGAGAAAAAATAGGGTTACGTTCCTGGAAGCCAAAAAAAGCCAAACAACTTTTTTTTAGGCCTCCAGATCTTACAAAAATTAAAAGTGAATATGTAATTGTAGTTCACTGTCGTGATGTATTATGTTGTTTTTACTGATTAAGATTACAAATGCAACAGAAATAATAGTATTTCTTACCTTAAATTGTGGATGCTGGTGATTGTGAAGAGAGTGGAGAGTTATGCTGTGGCCCTACAGGGCTGAGGTGGATGGTTGTACTGAGGTCGATGGTTGTACTGGAGTGTGCATAAATTCTGTAATGGATTTCTGTTCTGTTTTACCCTGCAGTACATTATACAAATGACGGTAAGGCTTCAGCTGCTCTAGACACCGTTTCAGGGTCCTCTTCAGTGAAAAAGGTCTAACTTTAGGTCAGTCAGTAAATCAGTCAAGTCAGTCAGTCAGTAAGTCAGTCAGAAGATCAGTCAGCAAGTCAGTCAGTAGATCAGTCAACTCAGTAAGTCAGTCAGTAAGTCAAGTCAGTGAATCAGTCAGTAAGTCAAGTCAGTGAATCAGTCAGTCAGTAAGTCAAGTCAGTGAATCAGTCAGTCAGTAAGTCAAGTCAGTGAATCAGTCAGTCAGTAAGTCAGTCAGTTAGTCAAGTAAGTCAGTAAAGCAGTCAGTAAGTCAGTCAGTAAATCAGTCCAGTCAGTAAATCAGTCAAGTCAGTAAATCAGTCATCACACACTCATGTTTACCTCATTCTTTTCATGTGCACAGTGACGCTTCATTACGGCTATAGGCTATCTCTTGTCTAATATCTCTGTTCTTCGTTAATTCAAAGACTTAAATGCTTGAACCTTTTCTTGCCACTTTCAGCAACACTTGTATGCCTACTGGGTGCCATGATTGCTTGGCAGATTTAACATATTACAAGAAAAAGATATAAACTCCTAGCAGAGGATGGTATTTATCCCACAGGCGATGCGCTCAAAATTTTTTCCCTTCCCACGAATCATGTTAAGTTAATTTTACGAATGTTATACAAAAATATGCCGCAATTCTTCAATTGTGCTATAACCAAAACATACCAGACAAAACCGTGGTAAATGACAGTCTACTGTATACCAGAAATGTTAGAAATGGTGCAAAGGTGACATTAAAACAATATCAAAGATGGCTGACACAAACCCACTACCATTATACTAGTATGCTCCTCACTTAGTGACAAATTCGTTTACCAGCGTGGTCTTAGGAATGGAACTTCGTCGTTAAGTATGGAGAGGCTATATGTATATTTAAAATACTATAGTTCTTATAGAAGCAAGTTAGGTTTAAGCTTGTCCAAAATGCTCTGCATAACCAAGGTGCTTTCCTTGTGACTGATGTAATGCCATCCAACTTTGTATAAACGATGTATGTGGAAATAAATATCGACCGATTTCTGTCAGACTAAAATTGCTATTTAAAACTACCTGGTGAGAAGCTTGACAAAGCTCTTGGAGGGCAAAATGTTGCCACAATAAAATGTTACAGTACAGCTTCTCATCACTTAATGAAAGAGTTCTGTTCCTAAGACCATGTCGGTAAACGAATTCATGGCTAAGTGAGGAGCATACTATAATGTTACTGGGTTTGTGTCAACTATCTTTAATATTGTTTTAATGTCACCTTTCCACCATTTATAACATTTCTGCTATATTTTTAAATGTTTATACAGTAGTGTACTGTATATTGTAGTAAACAGAACAAAGGAAATCAG